TATTAAATTCCAAATATTTTCGAGAGTATTTCTTCCCTCTCTATGTGAAACTCAACATGTAGATTAGAATACTTGTAGTGCGAGCACCACATTAGTTTTACACGGGTTTATCGGATATTACTCCTCGTCGGGGCTAAATATTCCCGGAAATATTGACGCTCTGCCACTAACTTGAATCAGTTTGAGTTGCGGCACGTTTGGATATTCGCAAATGGGATATTATCTCCTTCCATGGCTGGGGATAGTCCTGCACGATTCACTGTTGCGTTCCAATTAACCTTGCTGCTTCTAAAGTGGCGCATGGAGTTAGTAACACAGAACACGCAGAAAGAGATGATGTGGTTGTGAGCATCAGAGAAGAGTAGGACGGTGTATGTAGATGGGTGTGGAAAACTACCAGCTGAGCGTAAGAGCGGGCCAGCTGCTTAGTGGACCTCGGTCTCTAGCGGGGGTTAACGATGATAGCTAGCAGGCCTGCCACTGCAGCATATGGTACTGAGTACATAACTAGCCTACAAAACACAGTCGAAAAACTCTGAAAGAGAGCTGATGGCCGGTTCCTGAAAAGGATGTTAGCCAGCTCTCTCAAGCGAACCACATCAGTCATTGAAAACACCTTGGGGCTTGCGAAAACGTCCCATTAGGAACTAGTTGCTGACGTGCAAACGTCCCCCACTAGTACCAGTACCAGTATCTCCTTCCATTTGCTTTTTGTTTCAATTCGTCAGCACGTGACCGAAGTATGTCTGGGATAATGGCAACAAAAATAAATTACTGCGGCGTGGATTTGGCTCAGATTGAAGGGGTGCATAGGTAGGTGAAATTTACCACCAAATAGGTATTGGATGGCATAATTCTCATCTCGTTATCAAATGGCGAAATTGAGTGCAAATTACCGCACAGGAAAGTGGCATTTTATAATCATTTTGCTCAGGATAGTGACTGGAACAGCTGCCGTTCAGTAAGATACAATGTTTCTACATGCCTTCGGAACATATAACATTTCGTTATCAGATGACGGTCGGGTCCTTTACTATTTCTTCTCTTTTGTCACCGAACATGAACATGTGAACGCATCGTTCGGAATACCATAGCACAAGCAACAAGACAACAGTAGATTACACGATAATAGAAGACAAGACGAGAAATTTTGTCTGTGCATGCAGATTCCTTCGAAGCAATGCCATAATTTCATCATCCCAAAGTGCTCTCGTGGAGTCGTGAATATATACTTTGTTGGTGTACCTTTATTTTCTGTATGTATAAGTTAACGAGCGAACAATTCCAGCCCCGTAGTGAATAAATAAAGCTTCCAAAGCAAAATTAAATTAGGGCTGAACTCAAACTGTTTGGAAACCTTTTGTGAATGAATCCTTACGAGCTAGTCGAAAGATATTGTTTACCGCTTTTATTAAATCACCCCGCTATAGATGGCTTTGCATTCGAGATGCTTCAACTTGTTCGTCCCAGCATGTTCTTTCTGAAACATGAGAGTTAACCAAATGGAAAACAAGAAGAGACGCCCCGGGAAAATTGTGACTTGTGAGAAGTACTAGGTTCATATTCAGGAGTAATTGAGAGTGTAGTGAGATATTTGTTAGGCGGTTCGTGCCATTTATGGATGACTTTGAAGGAAGTTAGCGGATACATTTCCGTTTCTTGATTGCATTATACACCTCAAAGTTGGAGTTTCTGAACATTGAGGTCTGAAATGAGACACTTTGATATTTGGATGGCGAATTACACTTCTAGAATCAGTGTTAGAATGATAGACTGGAAGCCAACAACGTGTTTTTTGTGCCTCATTTGTTCACACTCAGTAGTATAAGAATCCCCCGAAATCGAGCAAGCCTAATGAAAATCGTGTATCAAAGGGTAGGGGCCGCTAGGCGTATGTAGCAAGGTACAGTCATCTTCAGAAAGCATGTCGCACATGGACGATGATAGCATTCTCAATAACTCCTGCAATAAGAGCGCTGACACCATCCAACCGCGACATGATATCTGAAGACGACTGTACTGTAATTGAAAAACAAGTTTCGACGGACGGCATTGCCGAACGTGGCGCTGTACAGGGTGTGCTTCTCAAAATGGAACCCCCCTTAATTCTTTTGTTTTCAGAGATGAGAAAAAATGTTGAGGCAAAGAATTGTATGAAACGACCCAAACTTTTATTTCGTGGAGTTGTTTCATATACAGAGTCATTCGTTTTCCCCGAAAGGACCTCAAGTTTGATTCTTTCAATAGTACACCCTATACATTTTCTGACATGTCGATTGAGCCTCTTTTTCTGATTTCGAAAATATATATGAGTTGATTATCAAAGTTCACCAAAATACCGATTCTTCCATTGAAACTGTCTATTGATATTTTTTTGTATTGGGATTAAATGATATGACATTTCCATGGAGCTTGAACAATATATATAAGCGTTATTCCAAAGCCCACAATATTCAACTTATATTAGATATGATATGAAGTGAAATTTCATAAATCGGTATTATGGTAAATATTGATCATCACTAACTCAACTATTTTTCATCCAAATATGCAACTCATCTTCATTTTTGAAATCAACAAATGAGGTTCTATCGACATGATGTCCTAAGATATATAGGGTGTTCTCCTGAAAAAATCAAAGTTGATGTCCTTACGGCAACATGGTTGTTTGAAACACTCACAGGTCACTAATGATGATCAAAAACATCTCAAAACGTGACTTACAGTCACAGAACATGTTATGCCAAACATTATGAAAATCGATCTCAGCCTACTCTTTTCATGAACAAAATTATTTTTTTCCAAAAAAACTTCAACACCTTGTACCAACTCAACGAGACTATTTTGGATATAGGTGAGTTGGCCTAAGTATACTTGTTTTTATCCCAGGAGACCACAGCCGAGCTATGTCCCAACCTATTACAGACACCCTGTATAGTTGGGCTCATGGACTGTGTTGTTTGTTGACTATTTTGTTTGAAGAACGAGTCAAAAATGACGCAAAACCGCATTGTGTGGCTGAAAAATGTTCATTTCCGCTGAGCATTTCGCGTTTTTGTTGTTATTGAGAAATCCAACTTGTAGACTTCGTCCGATCGTGAGATTCCTATAGCAACAATGATTCGTGCATCTAGTAAAATTTATGGAAAAATTACCACCGCACTTGTGTAATTATTGTTGATAACTAGACTTATTCTACAGTCCCTTTAGGCTGGCGCAACTATACCTGATGGGAATACGTTGGAAACATTGTTTACGTAAATAATTTCGATATTGAAGGGACAGTGTTATCGAAACATTCAATAGTTTTACCCCAGAAATGCTTAGAAATGTCTTATATAGAAGCAACTGAAAGAAGAGGATATCATTTTTGATAAAATAATGGTTATGATTCTGAACATTTTTCAGGAATCATATTTTTTCAATCACTGTTCGTGTTGTCAAAGTTTAGTTTTCAACAGTTATTACACAAGTGGTGGTTATTTTTTGCCAATTTCAATAACTATTTCGATGCACTAATATCTGTTGCTACACATCGTTCACGTGAGATTTACGTGGGATTTCTCAATAACACCAAAGACGAGTGCTAATTTACTCGAAATTATACAAAAAATTATGAGCACCACGAATGTAATTCGGCGTGATTATTTTTTGAACTATTTTGCAAAATGCCCAGCGAAAACGAATATTTTACTGCCACACACTTCGGTCTTGCCTCTTTCATCTTTAAACAGACTTTTTAGTCGACCAAAACAGTCTACTAACAACGCAGTCTTTTGGCATTGATTCAAACAAAGAAAACGTGAAGAAATTATTGCTTTTATTTGCTACTAACAAAATTTAGCAGTATGATAGTACCAAATGATTGGCTAGGACCACGTTGAAACAACGAAAACGTCACATTGTGACATGTGAAAAATCTAATCGGGGTGATTCGCGTGAGGTAGTTATTTATTATACAAAGATGTCGAACAGCACTTTATCAAAACTCGTTCATCCATAGAACGGCTAGGCTCTGGAATTCATTGCCTGAGGAAGTATTCCCAACATTATATAATCTCCAGAAGTTCAAAAAAATTCTAATACCTACCTCTTGTCCCTATCCTCCCTAGAAACGCACGATGTGCTTTGAACATTATAGGGATTTCCTTTCGTGCGCTCTAAGCGGAGTGGAAAGAAAGTGATTAATGAAAAGTGACATTTCATAACCTGTCAACAGAGATGAAATTTCAAACACCGAATGATCAGGAATAAATGGAACTGATAATATTTTCTTTTCGGAATTTCGAAAAAACGTTGATGATGATTAAAACTAGATGGAAACACATTCAAAACACCTTGTATAATGTACATGATTGAATTCGTAATGGAAAAAGCTTCTAGTCTGTGAACACATAAACAGAACCGTATATTTTGAAAAGGTTGATGATGGTTCTACGAATACGAAACGTCGCATAGAGAAATCAATGTCACCACGTTAAATCTGATCGAAAGAAGCTCTGGAAAAGTATCTTCAGCATTTCTGAATATCTAATAATAATGTATCAGAAGATATATTTGCCAAAAATTAACTTGTTTCGATATGACTGAGAAAATAAAAACAATTTTAAAAATTTTCGAAGGCCGTTGGTATGACCTTCTGAATGCGCAAAATTTTTTCTTTTTAACCGAATTCTCACCTCCTATCGTTTCCGAGATCCCCATGCTGTGCAACCTTATCTTGGTCACATTGTATATATCAGCGGAATGAATGGAAGTTCAGCTTGAATATCAGGCGAATAACCTTTTTCTGAAAGAGCAATGGTCTTATCGATACTGATTCTACAAATCCTTTCATTTTTCAAGATCTAATTCGCATTATTATTCGTAGTAATTCTTTAAATAATCCCAGATTTCATTCATTGTCACCCCAACCACTCCCAATAAAGTCTGGAAAGTTAACTGTCGCGATACACAGAACAAAGCGGCAAGCTGGATGAAAAAAAAAACATACAACTCACCAACAACTGTCATCCTTTGATGATCAGTCACAGTTTCGAAGAAGGGCGCCTCACCAGAAACTTCGCACCTGTAAATTCCTGTCGAAGAAAGTTGGACCGACGACAATATGACGACATTTTCCGTCGAGTTCTGCATCTGGAACAGAGGAAAGATAACTTGATAATATTAAATTGGAGACAGCAGGAAAGAGAGGGGCATCAGTGTCGTGCCAAACAAAGAAGAAATCATTTGCAATTGAGTAATGTCGACTTTTGAGTAATATTTATGAGACCTTCTCCAGTTGGATTCCAGGAGAGCCAATTGCATTTCAGAAAAGTCACTATAATTTCAGGAAGATACGATTGTATTTCAGAATAGTCATCAATGGCCGTGTACACCTTAGTAGAACATTGAACTCAAACAATGTGAATAATGATCCTTTTATACATAAATAATGATTGAGGACATAATTTGATCGAAAAATTAACTGGAATGTTTTATTTTTTGACATAAATAATAGTACCTTCTGAAAACGGACCCTCTTATGACGTAGAAACGACATCTCGCCATAGTTAATAGAAAATACCAAACGCCTGACGGAGACTGAGGCAACTGATATATTAATTCTTTGAACTGTGATCTCGAGCTAATTTACTCTGTCAGAAATCATGTATCATTCCTCTGTGCCTGGAATAGTCTTGTTTCAGTATTATAGGGTTTTGACGGCACATCATCGCCTCATTTTCAGAGGTCCGAAAAATCGGGGATTTCAATAATTTGTTATAAAACGTAGGAAGCTCACAGCAAGAAACGGTTTGCGGTGGTGAGTTAGTTTGGGTGAGTTCTATCGAATTATGGAATAAAAATTGTTTATGATATAAGCCCATTGAATTTCAGAAAGCATCATTTATGATTCAGAATAGTCAATTGATCTTCAGAAAGTGTCATCTGCATTTAACGAACAGTTGACTCCAAGATCCTCAATAATGTCATTGATGAATAGAATGAAGATAAGCGGTCCCAGAACAGAACCTTGTGGAACGCCAGATGTTACAAAACTCACGGAACTCGAACCAAGACATTCTACGTAAAGAGAGCGGTTTTTTAAATTAGAGTTGAAGAAAGTATTCAAGTTACTTATCTGAGAATACAAAACCATTCAATTATATGAGTAGTATATTATGATCCAACTTATCCAAGGGTTTGGAGAAACCTGTGTAGATATCATCGACTCGAGCATTATCATCGAACACGTTAGTTATGTACTGGGTGATACAAAAGAGATTGGTGGTAGTTGATCTCCCTTTGAAGAAACCATACTGAAACTCAGTAATTTGATTTTTCACATGTTTGAAAAGTGGTTTATTCAGCAGGATTTCAAGAGATTTAGAAGAGTTATTCACAATCGTAATAGGTCCATAATTTTCGACGTTATGTTTATCGCCTTTTTTGAAATTTGGTGTCAGTTTAGATTGTCTCAATATCAATACAAGAGGAAACTGCTGATATTTCAATGAGAAGATGAAAGGTAAGGTTTAAGGTTTCGCAAATATGGATGCACAGCCATGAATAAAAAAAATAGGAATTTTATCAGGTCCCATTGTATTTTACCGTTTGATCTTCTCAAGACCTTCAAGAACTTCGTCATCAGTTTCGGAAAACTCGGTGATGATTATTAAAGCGTCATTCGCCAAGTTAACAATGCGATTAGTTTGGACCGTTGGACCGGGAAAGGCATAAGAATTTTGAGAATATTTAGCGAAAGCATTGGCAATGCTCACTGGATCATTATGTTCGATACCATTTTGTAGACCATTGTCAAAGGTAGAAATGACTGATGTTTGTTTTTCTTAATGAATTGCCAGAAATTTTTAGGGTCTGTTTTGATTTGCTGTTTGATATTCCTGCAATGAACTTTATAGTTAGACTCAATTCCAAACTTGACTTTCATTCTGATAGTTTGGAATTCTATCAAAGCAAGCTGATCATAAAATTTGTTGTGTCTATTTCAAGTTTCGTGTTTACATTTGAATTTCTTGATGATGCTCGAGTTATACGAAGGCGGATAGTTTCTTCTACAGGCATTGACTTGGGTTTATGCTGAAAATGAGAAGAAGACGAACCAAAATTATGTCACATTATGTCAAGAGAATTACAATTATGTATGAGAATGGATGATTTTCATGATCAGTACTCATTTTGCCGAGGAAACAAATTATGTTGAACATTGAAGATTGTTGTTTATTTTTGGTTGAACATTGGATGCGATACGAGTCAAATATCATTTGTCGAATTGGATGCGTGCTCGTGAAAAGTGATCCACTTCATTAATTTTTTCCCGTTATTTTGAATTATCGAAACAGATCTACAAAATTTTGCCATACAGAATGTTGTTTATGAAATAAAAGATGTTTTCTGTTTCACCTTGAGACAAACCTGGATTCCGATCTTGATTTTTATCAAGTTTTGATGAGTGAGTGGAATATTTCTACCAAGTATTATTAGATTTCACAAAGTGGTCCAAAAATTATGACCATCAGATAAAGATTTTGCCAAAATCAAGATAACGTCCTGTATCGCAGGTATAAAAAACGGTAGACTCCTCAATGGGGGGTGATTTGGAACCATCGAAGTGTCCTCTATCTGCAGGTATCGTATGTACATTCGATTCTGAAACACCCTGTCTATGGACAAATATCATAAATTCCGAATACACTTGTCCAATGTGAAATTGAAACATTTCATGTGATCAATAATTCATTGAGAATAAATATTCCGAGTTCCACCAATGAATATACGGTACTGCAATGCCGCATAATAAACATAATAAGTATACATTTTCTACTTCTCCCAGCAACTTCTGCGAATAACGTTCATCGTTGAAACCAGGTTGCAACCATAATAAAAAGGACAACATTATTTAACCCTCGCGCTTCATATGCGTACCACCCCATTTCAATGTTTCATTTAAAATTTTACAGGTCAGGACTACATCGCTGCGATACGAATTTAATTCAAAATGAGGAACGCTGGGCTTACCTACTTCCGATATGTTTCGTTCTGAAATGTGCTAAAGGGCTTTCACGCTGGGGTGATAGTTGATAGTTATCTTGGGAATTAATGATTTTCGAAGATAAATAAACTTCTAGACGCATCTATATAGTGCTTATACGGCAGCTGTGAATCAGATGGATAATGAAAAAAAAGTTTTTGTAACACAGGCAAAATAAAAAACTATTGATTCTATGAAATGTGAAAGAATGAATGAATCAAGACTGCAAAAATCGAATTGTTAACAAGTGAAGTAAAAGCAGGAATTTCAGCTAGGAATTTTGATATGTTTATAATATGTACAGTGATTATTCACGGTGATTGAATCAAATACCAATTATTCATGTGAAAAGTCCATTAATATAAGTTCATTCACCTTATTGAACGAAAAACCCACCTTAAATCGACTGCAATGTAAAATGTTTTCAAAATGTTATTACATGTTTGCTATAATAGTAAAAATAGCCTGGGGAAATGCATGAATTTTGTTGATGTGTGATGTTGAAATTGATTATTCAATAGGACTTGGCGAATATCAATATTATATGATATCATATACTATTTTGTGATGGAATATAAGGATTCAAACTGAAAAAGACTGGTCTGCAAGGTCTCCTGTGCTGATCAATGAATCCATGGCACGGATGCACTCATACAACGTTCTATTTATTCACTTGTTCTCATGCGCAAAAGAATAGAAGAAACAAAATGGAAGACATAGGTGAAACACATCAATTTTCGATTGTGAAAAAAATTTTGTCAATATACCTAATGCATCTGATAGGCTGATGGTCCATTATTGTCATTCCATTGATGACTCAATGGCATTAGAGAATCTATATCCTTTTAATCATCGGTCAACCAGTACTGTACCATAGATTCCCCAATGCCGTAAAAATAGTGTCATCTCGAATCATTTAAAATAGGTACACTAATGAACCAGCAAAATGCAAGTGCAACGTATTATATGACCAAAACAGCAAAAAACATGTCCTTTTCCATCACCGAAAAATACAGCCAGCAGTATGCCACCGATCAAATCAATGGATCATTGAATGGCCAGCTATGTCATGTTTGCTGTGTGATTAAAGAAACTTTCCATTAGATAGATAGAGATATTGAATCAAAAAATGCATGTGGTCTAATGTAATTTAAAAGAAAAAAAGTAGCTCAAAGTCGGTCGGAAAGTAGTAGATTATTTTATAAGGATCAAAAGTGACACTTTGTTTGACAAGCGAATTTTGCATTTGCGAGGCGGAGCGTTTAGCGAAGCCGAGCGAAAGCAAAATTTGCGAGTCGAACAAAGTCACTTTTGATCCGAATGAATCATGCTATTTTTTCTGCAACCGAAACAATCAACTCAAATAAACATGTGAAGTAACCACCAATGCCGTGCCATATGTATGCAATGCAACAAATATTGACAAATAATCCATGTGGTGAGAATATTCTACCTGCATTAACAGCAGGTTGGGTTTTCTAGTATGTTCGAATTGTAGTTTCGATATAAATACAACCACAGAGTGACATCTTTGTGTATGGACCAGGTGCTCTAATGGCAAATACCGCGCCAGCTATAGGAACAAGATGTGGAAAATGTTAGGTTAGTGAGCATATCAACAATGATAATAGCGATTATTCATTCCTCTTCATACTATACACTGTGTTTGACTTGATAATCAAATGAAGCTAAACAATATCGTTGTTTGAGAAAAAAAACTATTGCTTGCCGTGATTATTCAAAAACAAGTTATGCATCCCGAGAATAACGAATGAAATACAAATCAAGCAAGTATTTGAATCTTGAAGGCTTCCCTGATCGAAACAAAAATACTCAACTGAGATGTTTATAATTCCAATACTAAACTCTAATAAGGTGTATTTATATCTCCAGAATGGGTATGAAATGCCAAATCTGCTGAAATCGGAAACAAATCAGGTATATGCGTCTCAACCCAAATAACCAACCGTCACAATGTTGTTCATTCTTGATGACGTCCAGTAGATCCTTTTTAGTTCCTAGTCGCTAAAGTTCAACTTTAGCTCTTGGAACTAAAATTCAACTTTAGCTCCTAGGAACTAAATATGTTGCCTAGCAACATACCTATTTTTGTGTCAGTAATAGAAACGTCAATTTAAGAGCTAATTTTGGTATAAAAATAGACGACTTTTGTGTCGATTGCAGAAAAAAGTAATTTATGAAAAGTGACATTTTATAACCTGTCAAAAGAGATGAAATTCCAAACTTCTTTCTTCACAGAAAAATATTTATTATCAAAATGTTATGTGCAATATGAATCTGTTCAAGAGGTAATAACGCAAAAACTAGTCGAGCTAGACTTTTTGAAAAGGAGTACAGTATTTATGTAAAACTGAACAGGCTTTCAGATTTTCTACTTACTTCGTTCATCATTCGATGGATAAAGAAAATATGATGTAATTCGAAGAAGTTACAGAGTGCAACTAGCGCTCTCTATAAGCAATCACAAAATAAGTTACAGATTCGTATTTATCTATCATGTCAGAGAATCCAAAACAACAAAATTTCATGCTCAAGTTATTGGGAAAGTTTAAAATATAATATTTCCAAAGGAAAACTTTTGACCTTCTTCGTAGACGTAAATAGGGATCGAAAGAGTCATCTTCAAGAACCTAAACGAAAACGATCATTCATATTATTCATACAAGGTCACCGAGCAGTCAACGATTTGCGCATGCGGAAGTCTCAAAGCAAAGTGAAATCCGTGTCGCTAAGCGCTAGTCTGTTTCATCAGGACGATAATAGCTATTTGTGTGTTCAGAGCGCAAAGTGATAGATTGCCGCTCGACAAAGAAAGTTACCGCGCGGTGCGGAGCGGAGCGCGGTAATCTTTGGAGAGCGGCAATAACACTTTGTGCTCGAAATACACACAAGATTTTTTCCACTAACGCAGCTTTTGGAAATAACTACCCTGAAAGTATGAGCGATTGAAATAGTTGAAAAAGTTCTTATCCATATTATCCCATATGTCCAAAGGAAACAGAAAAAGGAAAATTGAAATAACTGACAAGCCAGAAAAAAAATGTCGGGCCTACCGAAAGTTGAAACTGGACCACCAGCGTGGCAACCTGAGCTTCAGACCTCTGAGCCATGGTACGATAAACTCTGTAATCAAATTGAACATTTCTCATTGATGCAATAAAATTAAGATACACTGTCTTTCTGATGACAACAAAGAGTTTGAATATAAAATAAAATTCATCGTTTTTAACAGATATGCTTCATCGGGAGCTTCTTGTAGAAATTTGTTGGTACATATCTTCAGCGGTGATGTTTTGGATTTTTCTCGCTTTATATCCAATAGATTGTTTCTTTAGAAATGCGATAAGTTTCAGATACTTATTGATTCCGATATTATCTTTAACATTCAAGCATGTACCATCGAATATATAGACCAATGAGTTGATGACTTCAAAGTCTTTGATTTTTTACCAAAATAAGCCATGAAAACGCTTACTGAATACATATTCACCATCTCGGAGTGGCACCAATTTATGAATGTATCATATTGTAATTCATATTTCTTCCTTGATTTCTCCGACATAAGATTCAAACTCTTGCGCTTTCTGCTATATCATCAGGAAGGAGGTGTGTTTGATGATTCACTGTCACTATTTTCCATCATGACAGAATTTGGGGTTTTCAAGAAGAGTAGCTTACAGAGATGTGCGAGCGTTTTTTCAATATTTCCGCTCACGAGCGCAAATGCTGTCAAAGAATGACATTTCTGGGAAAACGTCAACTTTGTGCTGGAATTTGAAAGCGTCAAAGGCTACTTTGTTGAGCGTTTGTAGAAAAAATGATTTGAACGCGACTTACGTCAACTATGACTCCGGGCAGGGGGAAATCCTGCGTGGGCGGCGCGTCCCTCGGCACGAATCGGTAGAACTCGTGCCCGTCCTTGTACCACTTGACCGAGTAGAGAGTCTCGCCGTCGAGGTCGTAGTGGCACTCGAGGCGCGCGCTCTGGTGACGAACGGCGTGCGTCGGGATTCGAACGTCCACCAGATGCAAGGACACGGCTCCTGGAACAATGATTGATCAATTAACCCAAGTAGCACATATAATAATAATAATAAATCGTCTTTATTTTCTTACAAAATAGGCGAAAGTTTAGCCTAGGGCTACTCTAACACTTAACCTAGATTGTAGAGAATTAGAAAGTATAATCAACAACTGCATTCATCAAGACAAAGAAACATATAATTATCATAAAAATGCTATGGTATTATTTCAAACAATAAAAAAAATCATCTCAACAGTGCAATGGCATTTTATAATATCATTGATATAATACGCCAATGAAAAATCATATTATATATACATATCATATCGGAGAATTTCTAATTTTCTTCACTTTATACTTCGATGAGTGAGTGTGATGGATAAGAATCGAGTTATAAAACTTGAACGGCTTGATAGGTGAAGGATTTTCAAAACATGGCTGAGCGATGACGAGTTATATTCAGGTGATGTTTATTTATTTAGTTCCAACGAATGGAGGGGAGACCTATTATTTAATTCACTATAGAGGGCGAAAGGAACTTCAAACTTTAATAATTTGTATATCACATACACTAAATGGACCACTCATAATTTGACCCTTTTACGAAGACCTGTACTTTTTTAAAATTGACCGATCTTCATGAGGTTTCCGTTATCAGATGTGATATTTCATCGGCTTCCAAGAGACCTAGAACACTCTGAAGAACTCCGCAGAACAAAACTCACAAAGGGTGTAAAGTGCGGAACCATTGCACTATGGTCAACATTTCCAATGCTGCCAGAACTCGAGAAATTTTTTTCTGATCAAAAGTCAGTCATATTATGATACACTGGGACCTCATCTCGGAATGTTTTCGTGATTTCTCCTCGATTGGCAATTGGAACAAAATTAAGTTTATTTTCGAAAGTCTTGCATTTCTTGAATTTTTTCTCTGGAACTCCACTTGAGCTGAATATTAAGGAAGAACTGTTCTCGTGTTTTGTGGAGGACAATGAACGACGAAGAAAGCACCATTGTGGAATATACAGGGTGAGAAGAAAATTTTTCAACATCTCATTTCGGTGAAAAAAATCAAAAACGGCGAGTAAAGCAACGGCCCATTCGATTCAGTATATTTAGAAACGGGCTTCTCGATATCCATTATTTATATAAGACTATTAACTCAAGACGTTTCCGAAAATTCACCTCCAATTGAAATACACGATGAACAATTCAATATTTCACCGGCAACTATAGAATGTAGGCAAGAGCACACGAGATGCAGCCTCAGTAAATAGCTCATTTTCGTATATTCTGTCAATCATGATCGCGTAATCGCCGTCAACAGCAGACGGCATATCTTTCAAGAATTATAATTGAGACTGTTCGTTCAAATTTTCGAAAAAACGATAAATTTTTTGTTCCAATGGCCAATTGAGGAGAAATCACGTAAAAATTTCCGAGATGAGGTCCCAGTGTTTCATAATATGACTGACTTTTGATCAGAAAAAAATTCGCGAGTTCTAGCAGCATTGGAAATGTAGACCATAGTGTAATGGTTCCACTTTACACCCTGTGTAAGTTTTGTTCTGCGGACTTGTTCGGAGTGTTCTAGCTGTCTTTGGTGCCGATGAAATATCACATCTGATAACGAAAAAAGCATAAAGATCGGCCAATTGTTTCAAAAATTACAGGTCTTCGAAAAAGATTCAAATTTAGTTAGTTTATTTAGTCCATTTAGTGTGTTGAGAACTATATATTGGGACAATATCGATGCACTCCCACTAAACATTACAACATAACTTTAATATAAATCAACGTAAGTGATCACACTGGAGGTGATATAACTCAGGAGGGGTGAAAGAACTTACAGTCAAATCGAACAATTCTCGAAAGTTAGGCTCCTACAGAGCTGGTTATATTGATTTTACGCCTACGGGAGCAGAAAGTCTTTTCTCTGGTAACAAAAGAAGGGCAAAAGTGGCGTATCATTTCCTAGGGAGATAATGTGACACATTTTCTCCCTAGGGAGCTAATACCAACTTTACATTTTCCGCATAGCTCTGCGCTTTCTTTTCGGAACACCCTTCTGTAAAGCGAGTATAAGCTGCATCATACAGATTTATAGATTCCTCTGGTAGCAAGTTAAGAAGCACTGCAGAAGCAGTATCAGCAATTTTCTTGGGGTTCTGCCTCGATTACTTGTTCCATAACCGTTAAGCAATTTCGAAGCTGTTTTCATAAATTTCAGTTTGATATTTGCTGTCACCATGGGTTGTCAACAAGATGCATTTTGTCAAGATACGAATTCCACAAACTATACTACTACTTATTATGACAAAACACTTTGACTAAATTTTCATTCTTTCATAATTTTTGTGTTTTTGTCATCAGCGTAATAAATAGTACATACACCTCAGGACAAAATGCTATTTTTCCCTCGGTGCTTTGTATCCCTTGGGCTTCGCCCTCGAGCTACAAATGGCACCTTGGAAAAAATCTCGCATTTTTGTCCCTTGATGTATAATGTACTATTGTTCCCTAACAGTTACTCACCCCCACTATGCGCGGTTCCAAAGAGTGTCTTAGGTCGGTTAAATATAAATGTTATATTACATTGCCCTACACCATCATATTATGGTAACAGGGATTTTGATAATATATATATATTACATTGTTACTTTGTGATGTTATTCAGAGAGATGCTTAATGTCACAGATACGTTGCGAAAATGGGCCTTTGTGTCTCTTCTGCATATAACAATGTAATGTTAATGGTGATAAGTAACTATTATTTGAATATATTTATTCTCAATCTACCATTTGCATATGAGAGTTTTCTATTTTTGAATAAGATGAAATAAAATGTCAGGAGTTATTCAACTCTGAGGTCAACTCTTATCTGATATATGAATGTTGGGATTTCTTATCTTATTCTCTTTTTCATTACATTCTCAGTATAAACTCACAGGAAGTCGAATCATTTAGAAGTTTTCGATCAACAGCTGAACTGCAGTGACCATATTTGAATGCATATGATCCGTTAATCTGTAAGATTTTGCCATTTCCGGGAAACAGGCACATCTAATTTCAAAAACCTGTTTATCATGATGAGAACTCATCAACCATATTCTTCCCCATGCATATCATCGCTTAAAATTGTTCAATCTCCAATACCTATATATCTCCTCTCCTTATTCTTTCTAGGTAAGCACGATGTTCTCTGAATATTACAGCAATTCACATAAATTGGAATGAGGCTGATGATGGACCTCTCCAATATCCGAAACATGATGTATCTCGATAGAGCTATACAAAAAACAAGCATCAAATCATAAATGCGAACCAAATTTCAAGAAAGGAGTTTCTTAAAAAACCATCACAGAATATCTTAGAAACGAAGTACAACTGGAATACTAGTGGGACTTCTCATTGTAGGCTCAACAAATACATGAGTACGATAGGTCTGACTGAAGAACTGCTGTGCAGGTTCTGTGAGGAAGAGGAGGAAACGCAGTACGCACATACTTTGCCACTGTGAGGGCTTGTCAAGACTAAGGTTCCTTACGCTGGGTGAAGAAAAACCAAGTGCCCAAAAATACACAGGGTATCTGAAAGCAAGCCTATAGAGTCTCATGAAAAAGGCGAGGTTAGACAAAGAACTCTAAACGAGCGGTGTGGAGGCAGATAGCCCAAAGGCCCCATAGTCTAAATTCAATCTCATTCAATCTCCATCGAGTTATTGTACAGATCATATTGAAATTATTCGCTCCACCGTCCATATACTACCCTATCACCTTCCTTTGATATATGGGAGCTTTCATTTCTGAAATGAGTAACATCATTTACTATTTTATGTGTCGATAATATATCACCTCCATCCATTGTTTCGTGACTATTATTTTCCTATCATAGTCCAAATACACCTATAATGAGTAATTGCTTGACATAATATTTGATATATCTACCTAATATTTACCTCTACCGGAATGGATTCAATGATCCAAATGTACAGGTGGCTTGCTTTATAAATTACCACCATTCATATCGAGTACGCTGTTATTTGACTTGCAACATGGTCATCAATTTGAAGACTATATTCTATATGTATATACCATGTAACAACTAGAATTCCCAGTTGTATGTTCCCTGGTGTATTACTCGCATCACTGAGTCAACCATTCATCATTGTTAACATTGCGTGGAAAACGATAATACATTTGGGATTGTTGTTTCTCTAGGACTTTATTCCCAAATACCTATCAGCATTCGTCATATGAGAGTCATTGTTAATATCAGTGAGAAATGCAACATCACTTCTCAAAATTTGGAAACTTTGAAACATCAATTAATATACAGGCAGGGTCCTGTACTTATAATCAAGAAGTTCATGTGGAAATGAAACTTCACGCTCATATGAAATAGTGTCCAGAGTAGGTTGTTTTCGTCAAGAGTCGCCAAGACAAGGATTCCTGTCTTGATAACAACGTCTTGTCTTATCTTGAGAAAAAGTCAAGGAATATCGGAGAATCTTGTCTTGATATATAATTTCTTGTCTTGACTTGAAGTTTCAAGGGACCTCCCTGTTCATAATGAACTTACTTGAACAAGTGTGTCTTACTTCTGCATATTCCTTCTGATTTCTTTATGATTATAGCTATCTCTGCAGGACATTGCGTATTTCCAGATTTCTATTTTTCAATTCCCCACCGTTTGGAAACAACCATGGTTGAAGAAGAAAAAATGTATTTCTAGAAATGGAATTGAATAATTTGACTATCACAGGTGTATAAATAAAGCCAAATGATGAAGAATATTGTCATATATAATACCACAAGTGATAATATTTTGCCGGAAATATTCGGTGATTGTTACGACAGCTTGTTGCCTAGTAATTTCGTGAATGACAATGTTATCAAAACTACGAGCCGTAGGCGAGTAGTTTTGGATCAATGTCATGAGCGAAATTAGAGCAGCAAGCTGAAGTATGTCAATCGACGAATATTTCCAGGAAAAATAGTATCACGGGTTGTATTCGTATGACTATTTCATGATTGAATGAGACAATATATAAGTATAAGATTTCGGAATGAAATACAGAATTTACTTTATTAGAAATTAACTACCTACTTATAGTTATTCACAAAGTGGAATGTACAATTTTGATAAACAGTATTTTTTTTTATTATCTTGGAGACGGTTGCTCTCAAAAGAGTGTATACAATTACTATCCAATTCAAACAAAATAAATTGAATTTATGTGGAATAATTAAAAAAAAATATCGTCGCCGTGGGATCGAACCATCGACCTTCGTATCCTCGCGCAACACGCTAACGGTTGCGCCACATCAGCTAATAATTATATCAGTCAGTCACAATTACTTGAGTATTTGAAGAAGATTACTTCAAAAAGGAATTTGAATTCTATTATTGTTGTGTCAGATCGTCAACAAATGAGCAAACTTTTTAAATTACACATGAAACGTCCAGCCAGAATAAAATTGTCTCGCCTTTCGTACAAAATATCTCAATAACGCGAATTATAAGTAAATAAAATAAAGTAGGAACTTAGGTTATTGTCTCAGATTTGAATCCAAAGCAATCTTGACCAGTCACGATGTCAAAATTTTATCGCTGATAAACGAGGTTAGTTGGTCACGTGTGGGTCAATTCGGCTTCTGTATTGGTAGAGCAAGTCCGATAAAATTTAATAAACAAAAAAAATCGCTAGAATACAGAAGAAACCATGAAAATGGTCGATTCTGATTGGTTCTCGAGATCAAGAGTGGAATAGTCATTCGTATAAGTAGTAAAAATCACCACAACGTTTAATATAATCAGATTATAAAAGGTTCTATATATAGTAGACATGTCCCCTCCACTTTTTCTAATTTGACATTGGGAAATTACTTGGAGAATTTTCACTATCTATTATATGAACCACTTCAGTCCACTTTACCGAAGAATAATATTTGCATTATCATCAAATCCAACAAAATTTCGACATCTATAACTCGGAATTCGAACAAAATTTCAGGAAAGAGTGTTAACGAAAGAATTTTGTTTGAGGAACTCACTCGAATGTAAATCACATGCTATTTTCCACCGATGACTCACTCACAATAAGATATTTTGTAAGTATCACTCAAATATTCATCTAGTAATAATAATTATGAGAACAGGAACCGAGAGCCAACCTATATAACATTAATAATAAAAATGAGATACCTATAGGTATTTTACTTCATCAGACTAGTCATGAATAAGCATGCTGAATAGGAATTTATAAATTGACATTCCACCATGTTCCTCAGCACCACTTTTACATTCAACATCAGATTTGGACACCGTAACACACCAAGGTGGCAAGAGATTCATTCCTATCGTGAGATCAGTTAATTAACCGAGACGCAAAGCGTCGAATATGGTTCTACACAATTCGCGATTAACCTCAAATATTGTCGTATTTCGAAAATGTGTCTATTTACGATGCCAATATCTATAATGACAGTTCTTGGTGAAACGAGAATATTCTCAGTACGTTTTGGGGATTCACTCCATTATTGAACTGGCCATGAAGCATGCTGGATAGCAAATTATTATGAATTAACATTATACCCTGCTTCTCAGCACCACTTCTACATTCAACACTAGATTTGGACACCGTCAAGCATATAACATTCCACTACCAATTTGGGCACTGTTCGAACATTGTGCTATGCGATTAACCTCAAATATTGTCGTGGGTTAAAAATGTGTCTATTCACGATGCCAATAGCTATAATGAAAGTTCTTGACAAAACGAAAATATGGTCGGACACTGATAATAACTTCGTCCTTCTCGTAGTTCAGAAATGCCAAATTCGAAAGTAACCCTTGGTTCCACGGATGTTGCTATGGACATAACGGCTGCGGAATTCAACTTCGTCCAATGTGTCGAGAACGCGTTCTCCGTATCAACTTTAAGTGACATGGTATACCAACAAATAACACGAGGAGCCTTATGCTTTCGAAGTGACTCATGATTATGCAATATCAACTCATCAATAAGAAGTGAAAACGGCGAAAAAATAGAAATATTATCAGGCCATTATCAAATGCCATCACATTTGCCTCGAAGTCCTGAAGTGAGTCTGGTTTAACCTAACACCTAGTATCGAGTGAAACCCTGAATAACCGGAATATTGAATCTCTCGGAGTTGGAACACTGAAGCAGTTTGATATCCTTCATCTCTCTCTCTCTCTCTCTCGTTAGACAACAGTTTATATTTCAGTAAACACCTGAAACTATCGATCACCTTGTGAAGTGACTTAACATTTCCGGCAACAGGGCTCCGGGTTGTTTGTCGACACAATGCCTGGCATGATGAATTACCACCACAATGTCGACGGTAATTTTCCAGCATGCGTGCATCTACAGATTCGACTACTTATACCGGGTGACACAGGATATCTGGCCACCCCTGTAACTTCTGCATTCGTGAACGGATTTTTATGAAATTTGGTACAGTGATATAAGCAACTATCTCGGAATTCATCACTTTATACTCCAATATGCCGGACTTCCGGTTTTTCTGGTAATGCCAGCAAATTCGTCTTTTTCAAATGAAACACCCTGTATATTTTAACATATTCAAGTTCAACAGGTCGAAACGAGTGCGATCTTTATATCAAATGTAATTTTTTTGAGAACATCGAAATTAAAATTGTTTTTCTTATTTTACCTCGTGGATGTATTAGATGTGGTCAGCCTATTGACAATGAGTCACACATAACAGAAAATATTGTTTAACGATCACGGAATGATAATGATTTCCTACGAGGAAGAAGTTTGCAGCATAAACCATAGGCACATACTGCAATCATTCGAGTAGGAAATATATAAGCATTCCGTGCAAGTTATACACTATAACTTTTCTACGGCTATAATAGATAACAGCGATTTCCTGTCAAGTAGATAATGCTCATCTATTAGACAGAGCTGTCATTGCTTCACATCAGACATTCCATGAGCGATGAGATTTTTTTGAAATAATAACACAATGGAGTCATTGTGATATCAGATACGGAAATAATATTGATGTCATACAAAGTACCTCATTGACTTATCGAACACAGTAAAATAAGAGCAATTTTGTGTTAGCCGTAGAAAAACATATTTTTTTCACAACTAGTTATTTATATTCAGAAATGTTGATTACCACAGCTTGCTCAGTTGAAAAATCATTCAAACTGCAAGGGAATTCAAGAACTAGTTGTTGATTTTCGAATGTATACAATTGGTTACTGCACCGAAATACGAAGATTGTAATTTTTTTTCCTATACAGGGTGTTATTTAAGTACGTGGCCAAACTTGAAGGGGTGATTCATTGAGTGATTCTAAGACGAAAAGTTCATATAAACATAGGTCCGGCAATGCTTCGTTTTCAAGATACAGGGTGTCAACATTTTTAAAAGAAATCGTTTTTTTCGTAAATATCTTAATAACCCTTCAACCGATTTTATTGAAATTTGGCAGTGTCATTCAAGGTCGTAAAGGGCTAATTCAACCCTAACTATATCGAAATTATCATGTCCAGTGGCGTCCCGGAAGGCACTGTAACCAATATTTTTGACAGAAAAAATGTGCGCTACTGATTTTTTCGCCATTTTTGTATCTCTTTCACATTAAGAAACTAAAATTACAATTTTTTTATATCTAGAATTTTTTTCGTATCTTGCTTTGTTTTTGAGAAAAAACATAAAAATCACTTCATTGCACATCCCTGTGACGAGCCGAAGGCAAGTGCTGCAATTCATACATACATATTTTTTGTTTTTTCATTGCATTAATTTTGATAGAAAATTCCTAGACTAGAAAAGAGTATTAATATGAAAAAATATTAGTAAGACCCCAGTTTTTGATGGTTTAGTAGTCGAAATGTTTTATTGTGTTGTCACAGGGATGTGCAATGAAGTGATTTTTATGTTTTTTCTCAAAAACAAAGCAAGATACGAAAAAAATTCTAGATATAAAAAAGTTGTAATTTTAGTTGCTCAATGTGAAACAAATACAAAAATTGCAAAAAAATCAGTGGCGCACATTTTTTCTGTCAAAAATATTGGTTACAGTGCCTTCCGGGACGCCATTGGACATGATAATGTTGATATAGTCAGGGTTAAATTAGCCCTTTACGACCTTGAATAACACTGCCGAATTTCAATCGAATCGGTTGAAGGGTTATTGAGATATTCACGAAAAAACGATTTCTTTCAAAAACTTTGACAC